AATTTGTTAATTAAAAATCTCCATAGTTTTAACAATAGATTCCAATTGTTTTCTTGCATTCTTCTTACAGTGTTCTTCTAGTAAACAAAAATTTAATGAAAAGTAGCTTTCCTTTGTTTAAATAATAAAATAGTATATATAGTAAAACTTGCTTCATTCATTGATGAATAAACACTATTGTTTTTGCACCATACGAAAATTCGCGACACCAATGATTATTAATCAATATTTAACAGTTCCTCACGTATTTTAATAATCTTGAAATAATCTTAATCGATTGATACAGCATTGTGCAATAAACAGTAACATCACTTGGCATTTAATTCCCCCTACTCGTGTCTCATTTTAGCAGTTTGTGGAAAGCAGCTGTCAAACTAATAAAGCGCCATTTACAGTTGAAAAAACATTGTTAACATACGAAGCCACGGCCACGTATTTAACCGAGGTCGAAGCCATTTTGAATTATCACCCACTTGTTCCCTTATCATCCGATCCAAATGATTTTACCGCGCTCACGCCTGCTCGCTTCCTAATCGGCGACTTGATCACAAGTATCGAGTACGTCACAAACGTTTCGTGAACCAAATTGACGATCTGGCGACATGTTCAACAAATAAGAGAACATTTTTGGACACGTTGACTTGAAGATTGAAAATGAGTGACCTTGATCTTTGACTGAATAGAAAATGTTCTGTTAATTTTTACCGTTGCAATTTCTTGTCAACTAATTGCTGATTAACTTTCGTTCGAAAAGTTTTTTTATTAGTTTAGTGGGAATGCCTAAAATATCGTAGTGATCATTTTAATCCTACACATATTGTATGGTTGTTTTTCACGAAGCTTCTTCAATAGGAGATAATAAAAATTACGCCCGATCGATACTTTGCTTGGTAACGATCAAAGGTTCTTCAAGTTTCTTCATCCGAAAAGAAACAAGAATTATGCCCGATCGATAAAATCTGTTAGGCAGCAATCGAAGCTTCAGTACCAGTGGAAAGCGACCAGTTGTGCTCTGATCTTTATAATGGATGCTATGCTGTACACCAACTACAGTCAGTCACGAAAGTTTTCGTACACCCCCTAAAATAGTAATTTTAAAGAAAATAAGCAACAATTTCGTATAATATTATATTCATTTATTATTATGTATGATATTATTAATTAAACTACATAAAAATTTATTGTTTTTTTAAGAATATTTTATACAATAAAGAAAAAACGAAATCTGTATGTCATAAAATTATTCTTATACTAAAATACGAAGGTAGTAAATCTAGTAAATTTTTGAAACATATTACCTGGGCTTTTCCGACAATGTTTTGTTTACGTTGTCATAATGTTGCGATTCAGTTGAAAGATGTCTAACAATCATTTAGCGACAATGAGTGCTTCTAGGAGAGAAACAATCGTTGAAATGCGGGAATTAATTGTTAAATTGTATAAGGAGAAGAAATCTCTACGTGAAATTACTAACATTGTGGGCAGAAAACATTCTATGTACTATTCAGTGCATAATAAAAAAATTCAAATTATTCGCCAAGATCCAAAAGTAAGTGCTCCAAAAATAACCACAGAAGTAGAAAATGATTTTGGAAAAACAGTACACCCTGAAAAAATTCGAAGAATCTTAAGAAAATCTGATATCGTAATCATGTGTCGCGGAAGAAACCCTTAGTAAGTGACATCAATTGTTCTAAGAGAATTGAATTCGCAAAAACAACATGAAAACGTGAATATACAATTTTGGGAAAGAATATTAATCATTGACGAAAGTAAGTATAATATTTTTGTAGCGGATGGTAGAACGGGACAGCATTTGTAATCAAACGATCATTTTAGAAGGTGTACGAAGACTTTCGTGACTGGCTGTATATTTACAGTCCCTGGCCATCGAATTAAAATTGTCTTAGGTCATTTAAATTATTACTAAATACGTTAATAATGATGTTTACATAACAATTGATTTGTTACTATCGTGGTAATAATCAAATTTTGTGGGTGACGAGCGATTAAGGGCCGCTCCAGCGTTTACGTAAGACTCAAGTGTCGATAACGCGTGAAGTCAGATTTGGAGAATTCAAGATTTGTTTGTATATACATACATGATGAGAATGTGTTGCACTTATGGATGAGAGATCTTTAAAAGTTCAAATGACGAAGAAGAGAATCAGTTGTGACTGAATCGTTGAAGCGTTCATAACAAGTCAGCGTTAAGAGTTTTAGTAAGTGCATTTTATGAAATATGGGAAAACGACAGGACATTACTAGTGAGAAAAGGGCCTATACATATATGTGGTCTTCTGAAAAGTGGCAACCTTTCGCAGCGACAAATTGCAAAAAATGCTAATATTTCGCATCAAACAGTGATGAGAATCGCCAAATGCATGAAGGAGAATGGGCCGCAGTTTTCAAACAAACGGTCATCCTGACGTGGTAAACGAAAAACCACACCGAGAACAGACCGAAAAATTATAAAAACTGCACTAGAAAACCGTCACGCGACTACAAGAGTACTGGTGCAATGTCTTAAGAACGATGGAGTGGATATATCTGAGAGAACATTCAGAAGACGTTTATACGAAGCCAATATCAGATGCAGACGACCAATAAAAAGACCGAAATTAACGCCCAAAATGAGAAAATCTCGATTGGAATAGGCAAAGGCTCATTCCAATCTTAGCATAGCAGATTGGGAAAAGGTAATTTAAGAAAATCATTTTACGACTCTAACTATATTTTCAAATTTTTACAATTTCTTCATATTTATTAGGTCATCTTCAGTGATGAAACACGGTTAGAAACGGTTACGGAAACAGCTCAATTTGTCCGAAGAAGGTTACATGAGCAATTCCATCAAGATTGTGTGGTGCAATCGGTAAAACATCCACAAGCAGTAATGATATGGTCCTGTATAACAATTGAAGGACCAGGCCCACTTTATTTTGTTAATGGAACTATGAATGGGAAACAGTACGAAGATGTCATAGAGGCCCGATTGCTTCCATTTTACACATCTGTAGGATCACAATATACGTATATGCACGATGGAGCACCATGTCACAGAGCCAAATCCGTTAAAACCTTGCTTTCATCAAAAAATATCCCTTTGCTCCCATGGCCAGGCAATTCTCCCGACATGAATGCTATAGAAAATGTCTGGAGCCTACTTAAAAGAATAGTTTATGAATCTCCAAGCACCACATTACCACAGTTGAAAACAAAAATTACAGATACATGGGAAAATAATGAAGACATAACGCATATGATCAAGCAATGTATACGGAGCATGCCGGAAAGGATACAAGCTGTCATCAAAGCAAAGGGTGGAAAAACAAGATATTAACGTGTGTTAACAATATTATGTACAGTAGTAGTAGTAGTTAATAAATTATATCATTACAATTTCAAAAAGCCTTTTAATTTTACGGAAATCGCGAAAAATACTTAAAATTTGTAGTGGTCCTAATTCAATGGCCAGGGACTGTACATCATCGGATAGGATTAAAGGACCTAACTACTATTTGATAAAAGATAATAAAAAATGAAATGAAAAAATATTTTCGTATAGTTTAAGGAACTCTATTCATGTTCTTAAAAGTCTAGTACAACGGAATTTAAATTTTTTACGAAAGAAAATTAAAAAGAAAACCGCCGAGAGAAGACAACAGTGTAATAGCTTTCTGACCGCCCGAAGTGTAAAGTCATTGTACACCACCAAAAAAACTAGATATGACAAAAAAAAGAAATTGCAAACATGTTAATCGAAGACACAAACATTAATGTTGTAAACTTTTTCTCAAATCTTCTGAAACCAACATCTGCGGTTTATAAATTAAAATACAACTTCTACATTAGTAAATAGTTGTTGCAAGAGCTCTGTAACTTATTTAAAAATCAAACTTAGAATGTTTCAAATTCATATAACTTCAACTTCTTTTATAACAGATTACTAAAATCATCTATAATTTATATTTATCGACGTGATGCTGTAGTTGTACAACGATTAAAAAATCATTTTATACATATACAGATATTGATCCCGATTTTACACAAAACTTTAGTAAAATCAATGCTGAAATATTTACATGCTGTAGAATGCAGCCGAGAATACTCTACAAAGTACTAATTTTTAATATAATTTAAATATAAAACAGTATTCTTAATGTGTACGATTTTAGCTGTGAGATGTTTTCTGCACCGTATTATAGTAACTTTATTTTTTTTATGTTAAGCAATATTCATTTCTTTTGTCATTATTACGCAATAAATACAGATATATTTACAATATATGTTTGCCTTATTTTTTTTTCAAATCATCCTGACACTTCTTTTTTCGAATGAAACATATTTTTATATGTGATGTACGATTTTTGCTGTAACTCACTGTGCATGTTCGTTTGTATCGGTAGAAAATTGTAATAAAATTTTTCATTATTTATCATGCTCTTGCATCTCGTATAATTGATTTTTTTATGTCCCCGAAGACCGAAACATTAAAAAATGTGGGTGGTGGTATAGTTATGATCCGCAGTGTATGTAAATAGGCTCGAAATACATTATTAGATCCTCTCTCCTCCGAAGATTCGATCGCTGACCGTCAACCCTGTCTCCCAGAGGTCAACATCCCCCAATCTCCCCTCCAGTTAGGTCAATATTATCGACCCTGACAGCCCCCGACTAGCTTCCCCATAGTTCCCATAGAAACCTAACTTGCTCCAACAACCATCCCTCCTTTTCATACTAACACACAAACTATAGATCGCTCGTAACTTGCTCAAGTCTCGACTTTCGTCTCAGTTTCTAACATTTCCACGACCCACGATGAACCCAGGTGACATTTTCTAATCGTTCCTGGGTTTACGGAACCCAGAACTCTCTACCAACATCATGTAGGTAAACTTGTAGTGTTTTCGATTAGGTTTGCGCGCGATGGTTGAATGAATTAGTTCAATTTTTCGGGTTTTTTTCCCTTTTTTAATTTCGATCCTTGTGGTTTAAAAATGATCGCGAGGACCTCGTTGCTGGATCAAAAGAGGATCCAATGGGCCAAGGAGAGAGGTAAGGATCGAATCATGCTAATCACAAACCATAATCTCGGACATTTAGTCAATTTTAAGTCTAAAAATCATAATTTCACAATTTAAAAATTTCGTTTAAATCAAATACAAATGGTTTGTGTATTAGTATACTTAATTGCTTTGGCTCTTCAAATTGTCATAATCAATAACCATTCAATTACTACTATACCTCTATATACTAGGTATCATAGAAATAAAAGAGACAAAAGAAAAACTAATCGGAAAATTTTTGTTTAACAATTTTATTTCTTTACGACGTTATTTTAAAGATTTGGGCCAATTATGGTCGTTTACACGCACAGATTCTGGTTGTTTTCGGTCCATGGGACCTAAAATGTTTAATAAAAATTGAAACTCAAAAACAATATGACAGATCTTGAGAAAAAACTGAGAAAGGGCCCTAATTTCAGATTTTTAAGATTTTAGACTTGTAATTATTTACAAACACAAATTACGGTTGTTCCTAATTCATAGGGCCCCGTAGTGTTTAATAAAATGTGAAACATAAAAATGAAATGGTGAAACTGGCACAAACGTAATGTTTCCTTCGAAAAATTTAATAATATTGAAAATTATCAGTAATTTTGGCTTAAAAAATTAAGTTTAACTATGTTTCGTGGTCTCTACAACCATAACTTAAAAGTCTGATTCGCGTAATCGAACGTCAAAACAGTTAATCAAATATTAAATAAAAGCAGCCAAGAATTTTAAACGTCCATTTATTTGAAAGTTTTGTGAAAATTTTTCGATTTTTACAAAAATTATGGTTGTAAATTATTCTATGATATCTTATATGTATATGTATATGTCGAATAATGGCAATTGATGTGGGAAATTAATAATTTATGCGAATATCGTAGAAGAAATGACCCGTTTTGGCGGAAATTGGGGGCTTTTGAAAAATAACAACAATTTTCGGTGAGTATTTATTGTTATAAATAACAACGGAAACCGAAATTTTAGACATCATTTTTGCAACGTATCATCCGCCTTTTTATTGGCAATAATTATTTTTTATTGAATTTTGCAATAATTTCGTCAGAAATTAATTAATTAAGATTAAAAATCGTAATTTTCAGAATAAAAAGTTTAATTTTTAACTATAAACAATGTTAACACTTGGCAATTATTACTAGGGACTTTCATTTCCTAGAAACTTTTATTAGAAAATACCACAAGAATATAATTTAAAAAATTAATCATTTTATAAACAATTCATTACAACACAATATCATTTTTATTGTTTATAAATGAATTTATAAACAAGCGATTTTTCTAATCAAAATTACACTTTAAATTACGAATTTTAATTTCTGTTATTGCTTATCCAATCATTCTTATATAAAAATGGCTAGAAATAATAATTTCGGTCACTCAGGCATTGTTAAATAAATAAATATAGGTTCTCAGAAGATTATAAATTAGGTTAACGAAAATTATTTCGTTGATCTCGTATGAAATGATCGATAAAAAGCCTAAAGTATCAGTTATCCGAGCGGCAGAATGACTTTGGCGGAGATAAAACGGTCAACCTCGAAACCTATCTGCGCTAGTGGCCTTTTTGGAAGCAGTACCAGCCTGAAAAGTCTAAATTACAATGGTGAGAGCACGATTAATCTACAAGAGGAACCAGAAGTGGCGAGAATTAGGCACAGAAATCCGAGTTTGCCTCCAATTTATAACAAAGATCAACAATCATATATTTCCCAGGTTTGTTCGGAAATAATTTTTTAAACAAATATTATTTCTGTAAATATTGTTTACAGATATTACGTTTAAATATAAAAAAACTACTGTTCTGTTGTTACAAAAGACCCAATAAGTCTCAATATAGCAAATCTTGAATACATAACTGTTTTTATAATCGCGAGACTTGGATCCTGTGTTTTTTTCAGTTATTCATAATTTGCTGTAATTTTTAATACCCCAAAAGTCACTAAAAGTCTAAATAAGTCTCGATAAATTCCAAAGATAAATTGTTTCAATTTCTCCAGAGTCAGCAAAAAGAATTCTCATTGAAAAATAAATTTGAATCTCAGCATAATCACCGATTGTGCAACCACGAAACATCCGAAAATCACTATACCCAAGTTGAAGATCAAGGGGGAGAAACTTCCGGTTATGCCAGCGATTCCATGGACGTTCCAGTATCTTCTAAAAGTAAAATATTCAATTTTTCAATTGATCATTTTAAACAAATTTAGACGATACATGCATAAATTAATTTTTTTTAAGCTTTAATAATGTTTACCAATTTTTTTAGATAACATTCTGTAAACTGAGAAAAAATAATTCATAATTACTAAACAACAAAGACTATATCAAATAAAGATAAATATTAATATAAAGCTCGAAATATTAAGTAGGGTACACTGAAAGTCCTTCAATCTCTTTTAAAACTTATAAGGAAACACGTTCAATTCGTACATGCCGATTTTTATGAAAAAAATAAATAATTAACACGTTTTTCTTTACTTACAATTGTCCATATCGAATGGGTGAAAACAGTCCCTAAGTAAAAGAACAACTTTTTCTTACAAATGTTTATATTGTTGAGCTCCTCATTAAAAAATGTATATTTTAAAAAAGATATGTTTTCAACTCCAACTTTAGGGGCTGTTTTCACTCCTTCAATATGGACGATTGTAAATAAAAAAGAAACGTGTCGATTATTTTTTTTAGAACTATTTTTCTCTTGTTAGTTTAAACGTGTTCCCGTATCGGTTTAAACAGTTTGCAACTCAGGAAACTCCTCAAATTTTCCAATTAATGAACAGTCGACAGACGAAAAAGACTTGCATCTTGGGGATGAAATAGTTTCGCAGAATGTCAAAGCTAATTCTTCCGGTTTTTCTGTTTCTGTGTCGTATGCTATGTGTCTGCGACAGTTACAACTGCAATATTCTCTTCTGTGCTAGTTCTATTGCCAGGTTGCAAGCCTCCAGAGCCACCGATAGAAAAGATTTGGCGGAATCCTTATTCCACACCTGAAAGTTCACTTCCACCATCGAGAAGACTGCAAGACAGGATGGGAGAGCTAAATAGGCCACGTTGGGACAGCGTGTGGGGTCAGGACACTTCTCACGGAGATCCCCCACCACCCTCCTGGCTCGCCAGATTGGGGCATTCCAGTCAAGTACGTTCCTACGAATTTTCACTAATTACTTTCTACGATTAATTGATCCGATCTACAGTGGATCAAACAAGTATTGGCACATCCAAATTTTTGTAAATATCTTTATTTGTTGAAATATTTTATTAACATCATGTATATCATTTTATGTTTTTTAACATACACTACTTCTATACTGAAGCATATTACTCAATATCAATAACAACGGAAATTATAAAGAAATAACGAAAATTGCATAGTCCGAAAAGTATTGGCACACGTGGAAAACAAAAACTTAGTCTTTAACATTAATACAAACTAAATAGATTTTTAATATTTTGTATGCATTCCTTTCACTTTAATAATACCCTCCAATCGAGTTGGCATCGATTCCACAAGTTTTCGAATAGTCGTAGGTGGAATATTTGCCCATTCTTCTAATGACGGCTTTTTTAAATCATTCTTACTTGAAATGTTTCTTTTACGAATTTTTAAATCTAAAATGTGCCATCAATTTTTAATAGGATTTACATCCGGCGATTGAGGAGGTGTTTGAAATTGTTTTGACACATTGTAGAGGAGCCATTCCCTCGTTTTTCTTGCCGTGTGCTTCGGATCATTATCCTGTTGGAATACAAATGTTCTTTCGATGACGAATTTTGCAGCACTTGGTAATAAATTATCTCGCAATATGTCGATATACTTTAAGGCATTCATATTTCCTTCGATAAAAGCTAAATTTCTCACTCCATTGTATGACATGCAATCCCAAACCATTACATGTCCGCCACCGTGCTTAACCGTTGGTTGAATATTTCGCGACTCCGGTTCACTGTTGGGTCTTCTCCATACATATTTCTTTCCATCAGATCCGAATATGTTGAACTTACTTTCATCAGAAAATATTATATTTTTCCAAAATTCAGTATCCTTGTTTATGTGCACTTTTGCAAATCCAAGCCGTCTCTGTCTATTGACTTCGTTTATGAACGACTTCTTTCTCGCGGTTCTACCGTAAATGTGAGCCGAATGGAAAACGTTTCGGATTGTTTGTGAACTGTCTTTCCCCACTGTGTTGCGACATTAACAGATAAACTGAGAGCACTCACAAATGGGTTTCTTCTTGTGAAAATATCTAGCGTTTGCTGGGTTGGTATGAATGATGAGTTGGTATGAATGATGAGTGGATATGATTGGTGAGAAGAAACAAAAGGTGTGCGCGATCGGGAAAAAAGAGGAGAAGCGTTTTTGGAAGCGAGGTGCGATGTACAAAATTACAATAAAGAAATCCAACAAAGGTTATGGGCCCCAGTGTGGCCAGATCTGGCATAATTGAGTGCATCGAAATCGACAACAGTGACGACGAACTTCCTTAGCGTCTAACGGAATAGTGGGGATAGCAGGCATACACTACCGCACGAGCCACGTGTACGTGAGCTCGGCACTTCGCACAACTTCGGCAAATCGATAAAGAACGCTAGTGTGAGCCTTTCCTTCTTGCTCTTATAAAAGACAAAACAACTGAAATACGACCTCGCGATAAGTGGCATACGATTCCAAGTCTCGACTGCCCCAGCATTTTTACTTTCCGACCTATACAGGGTGTTCGGCCACCTCTTGCAAACATTTTAATGAGCAATAGTAGAGGCCAAAATAAGACGAAAATGAAGTATACTAATTAGTTGATGGAGGCTTCGTTGCAAAGTTATTAACATTTAAAGTTCCGCCTGTAGAATGACAATCCGCTGAACAGCTGGTTCGCGCGGACGGTTGCGGCAGGCGAGTGCTAGTGGTTCTCACGCAGCATGAAAAATTCTGCTTACCGACATTATCGACAGCCTTAGATTTTTGTCCACTTATGGGAATGCGAACACCTTACGTTGAATAAGATTCAACCTGTCTTATGAAAATCCAGAAGGGCATATCAAAACTCGTTCGACGAGATTTTCACAGAGAAAGGGTGAATCCCAGTTCCAATACACAATGTTGTGAACAAAAATCACCTACATGCGATTATACACGCCCCACGATTGTCCACAGTGTCCACAAGTATCCACAAATAATCCTTTCAGGCACTAACCACTATGCAATTAAATAAACACGTACCGCGATTATGTTATTCGTGAATGTCTACGTGTACGTGTATCACGATTCTTCCGAGTTACTTACGAATAAAACTGTTATTAATTTTTCAAATACACTTCAATTTAAAAATGTAAAAAGGAATCGCAGGATAAATGAAATTTTCGCATCGATTTACGTTCATGGCGAAGAATGTAACAATACTAGCAGCTGACTGTGCCATCGACCGACGAGGTTCAGAGAAACATATGCCGAACAGGCCCCGATTCTACGTCACTCGCCTCGCGTATCTCTCTCACACACAGCGGAGACAAAGGGCAGCATCGGCACGTGTTCGGCCAGTTAGTCAGTCGTAAAACAGTATCAGTCAAGCTAGTTCACGCGACACGTTTCAGTTGAGTATTAAGTAGCATGTAAGAAATACAGTGATATAAACAATCAGCGAATACTTATTAAATTCCTGTTTACATTTTCAAATTGAAGTGTATTTGAAAAATTAATAACCGTTTTATTCGTAAGTAACTCGGAAGAATCGTGATACACGTACACGTAGACATTCACGAATAACATAATCGCGGTACGTGTTTATTTAATTGCATAGTGGTTAGTGCCTGAAAGGATTATTTGTGGATACTTGTGGACACTGTGGACAATCGTGGGGCGTGTATAATCGCATGTAGGTGATTTTTGTTCACAACATTGTGTATTGGAACTGGGATTCACCCTTTCTCTGTGAAAATCTCGTCGAACGAGTTTTGATATGCCCTTCTGGATTTTCATAAGACAGGTTGAATCTTATTCAACGTAAGGTGTTCGCATTCCCATAAGTGGACAAAAATCTAAGGCTGTCGATAATGTCGGTAAGCAGAATTTTTCATGCTGCGTGAGAATCACTAGCACTCGCCTGCCGCAACCGTCCGCGCGAACCAGCTGTTTAGCGGATTGTCATTCTACAGGCGGAAATTTAAATGTTAATAACTTTGCAACGAAGCCTCCATCAACAAATTAGTATTCTTGATTTTCGTCTTATTTTGGCCTCTACTATCGCTCATTAAAATTTTTGCTAGAGGTGGCCGAACACCCTGTATCTAAGGTATAAGGAAATTTATAAAGTATCATAATGAAAAAAAATTTTGAAGTTTTTTTTTAGCGGAAATACACGTTTTAGGACCCCCTGATCATATTGTGACTATTGAAAAAAACGATATTTTTTTTGTTCCTATGCTATTAACATGAATGCATTAAACGACTAAGTGAATTTCAATAACGAAAAAAATATTTCGAAATTTTTTTTTAGCGGAAATACACGTTTTAGGACCCCCTCATCATATTGTGACTACTACAAAAAAACATATTTTTTTTTTGTTCCTATGCTATTGACATGATTGCGTCTAAACGGCTAAATGAATTTCAATGAAACTTAACATTTAAGTTTTATGTTCTCGTTTTAAGGTCTCATTATATTTTAAGCGTGATCAGCTCCCATATAATGATGATTATACGTTTTTAGTTTTATAATTATTTCGATACATACACATCATTTGTAACAAATTTTTAAAGCGATTTATATAAATCTTAAGAAGGATTAAGATCAAATATATTTTTCTCCTATCTTTCCTAGACAGGAAAAATTAAACGAAATCTTATGCCTTGCATACCTACTTAAACCACATAAAAAACGTATTCCACAAATATTTTAGAATAATGTTGTTCAAAGCAGTCTTACTCGTAAAGGGTTAATTAAGGGTTAATTAAAATGAAAAACCACTCTTAGCCAGTACCGTGCACGCTACAGAAATAGATTACTACTGACTTTTCCCACTATGTTTTTTAATAACCGTATCAAATTGTTACACACAATCAAATGTTATATATTTGACTTAACTTTACATAACAAAATAATTGTAACGATAGGTAAAAGAATAACGTGCACGCTACCGTTCAATGGAAACCACGGGAAGGTGGTGGTCACTTCCATCAGGAGGGAAATGTAAAAAATTGTTATTTCTTTGTAACATTATCACATGCCGTATATTAAAATGTTTTTATTAATGTAATGAAATTACAATATAATGAAAAACTAACTCGTGAATGCATTAATTTTTATTAATATACACACGAGCCATAAAAATGGAAAAATGATATAATTGTTTACATTTCCAAAGGATGGGATGTCGGGATAGGACGTTTGCGATTAAGCTGGCACGTTATGTCGTGCATTGTTGCTCTTACGGTACCGTGACGTAAGTGTAACAAGGCGCGACATTCTACGTCATAGCCACACTATCTACAGCAAGCAATTTCACTAACTAAAAATATACGGCAAAATATAAGCAAATAAATGAAGAAAAAAAATGATAGTTAGAGCAAGCAGAATAGTATTTACAGCAAGCGAAATACGTAAAAAAAGTAACAACGCGAGACAAATTGAACGACTATTTACATATTAGCGATGTCCAAAAAAAAATATTTTGGACATCACTAACAAGACTGCGGTTGCAGTGTAAGCGCTTTCGCGTGACGTTATGGCACATACATGCATCACACCTTGTTGCGCCTACGTCGCGGTACCGTTGACGTAACAAGACCAGTCTACCGCGACGTCGCATGAAAACGTTTATACTGTCATTGCAGCCTAATAGTACGAATTTACTAAAGAGCTTTTCTCTGGAGAGAAAAATCTCTCTAGAGAAAAGCTCTGTAGTAAATCGGTACCTTAATTTTCGTCATATGACGTAGCGGGAAAGTTCTCAAAGTTATTGTCATATGTTGCGTTTAATCTTAAATTACACTTTTGCTTCTTAGCAAATCTATGATATAAATTTTTGGAATACAATAGAGCTAGATGATCGTCATCTACCTCCATGAGTTGAGAGTTTTCCCTCTGCGCCTTTAACGAAGATTTCACAACGCAAATAGAGTTGACGCTGGCCGAAGAAAGT